TAAAGTTTAGGTCTGCAATGCGACAAGTTTGCTTTCACATTGGGGCATTCTGAAATACTCATAAAATTTTTTTTAAAGTTGTCGGGTTGAATATTTTGACTCAATCAGCGTCATTGCGAAAGTCGGAAACTAGACTAAATTTTAGGCAAAGCAAAGAGCAAAAGCAAAGGCAGTTGAGTGTACGATGTAAATTTGACCTGCACAACACGATCCTGGGCTCGAATCGTCACATACGATATCGTATTACTCGTCACTTAAAAACACATTTTTGAATTATGACATACGTGAACGTACTCTTCATCGCATTCAGCTTATACGACTGACGTATCACGAAATTTTCTTTCGTAAAAATCTCGAAATAAAAAGCAGTTGGGCCTAAAAGTATACTTTATACACCATGAAAAGCAACATACGCATTGTGTAATCAGCCAAATCTGACAGTATGAGGAGCATTTAACTGGATGTAGCATGTTAGGCGCGCCTGTTATTCTTTTGGAGATTTTTGGCGACAATAATTAGCGATAGCAAATGTTGGAATCCGGCTGCTGGTGTATCCGTGTAATATTGGCAAATTATGTACATCCATGCGGCTAATCGTAACACACGGTAAGCTGGCTGTGGTCAATCATGCAGTCATATTGAAAAGGCTGACGATGTAGAGCGCGATTTCACTTCTGTCGCTTTTTTTTAGCAGCTACTATGCTTCTCATTCTTTCTGAGATCGCCAATCATTGAGCATTTAGACTGCGCTTGTCAATATTTGATAATAAGATCTTCGGCATAATGTATCTCGAAAAGTGAAAGTGTAATGTTAAATACCAACTTCGAAGCAATCGAGTCATAACCGCAAAGGATTTGCAAGCGCCGATTTTCTCATTTTGTATTTGATAAAATTCTACAATTTATGTATGCACATACGCATCACTTCTTCATATCCTATTTTATCGCTGTAAAATGTTATAGGTACAGAGATTTTATCAGTACCGTACTGATTTTTCAACTCTTTTACTGATTTTATTCATTTCTTCAATCAGTACGCTAATGTCCTGATTTTTCAAAAAACAAAAAAACAAAATATTTTAGGATTTTTTTAAGGTTTTTACATATCGTTACTACTGTACTGTACTACTGTACTGTACTCGTTGTACTGTAAAAAGTAAGAAGAAAATAGTTTTATTATAGTTGACATGTTTTAGATAATGTTTGATATGCCCAAGAAATTAAGATCGATTGATAAACAGACGACAGCGTTGACCCGGATCAACTCGGTAATTAACCGCGGTTGATCCGGATTAAGTCCGAGTTAATCTGGATCAATGCTGCCATCTCTTTAAGCTTTTACATGCGCAACTTTGTTTTTTATGTATACATAAAAATAAGTATGTATAATATTTATTTATTTATTTTATGTTTTTACATAGCTATTGTAAGAGATTTAGCATCAAGATTCAAATTGATATTGTTTGCAACTTGTGTTTCTTTATTTATTTAATTGTAATAATTTTCATTTAAAATGTAATAACAGAAACAAGTTACATAAAAGTTTAGAAACTTGCACAAATTTCAAAAAAGTAATATTACTTCAAAAAATTGTCATACAAATTTCAAACATTTTAATTATGATACAAAAAAGAAGGTAGTTTCATTATCACTTTTTCGTCGCCATATTAACAACCTGGCAATTAAGGTACTGGCCCAATGTAGGCTCATGATTCAATAGTAAAAGGTTTGCTCAAAAAACAGTTTTCTCGCTCCCTCTTGACAAAATCGGCTCCCTTAGCAAGGCACTGTGTGTGGGTTCGAGTGTGTGTGCAAAGCTTTTGTAAGGGAGATAAGGGAGTGTCAAAACTCTAATGTCACTAATGAGCAAACCTTTAAGGGCCATTCACATACAACTTTCCTCGCTTTGCTTGACAGTTCAAACTTTGACAACAAAGCGTGAAACGCAGAAGGTGTTTTTTCTTCCCCGTTCAAATCGACGCGTAATTTACCCTGACTGCTGGTCATCCTGCAATGAACAGTATTGCCAAGCAAACTAAATATAATGCAAATTTATTTAACGCGGTTGTTTTCAATGGCAAAAATAAAAAAAAATAAGTAAATTGATTAACTGAAACTTTTACTTTAAGGAGCTAAGGAGCAAGTGATTTTTGTTTAGCCTTTTATTCGTGTTGTTTAACAAAAAGTCGGGTAAAAAGTAGAGAATCCAAGTTATTTTCTAATCATTCGGCGATCGTTTTTCAAAATGAAAATAAAGAAAAGCTTCTGTGATGCCTACAAAATCCAATTTTTACGTATATGAATCAATCGCACGGACTCTCATTGAGTTTAATAGTATGGATAAACTAATTTCTCATTAGGTCATTCTTCTTTTGATGAAATTTTATTTTCTTCCATTCCATTAAATAAGCATACTTGGGATTGTATATTCTAATATATTATCGTAGGGAATAATTAACATAACAGTAATTGCTAAATGTACAATGGATGCCTTCTTTAAGTCATAGGGTACTAAAAAAAATACATATACATTTGAAAATCTATACGTTTATAGTGTATATATGCATGTCTTATGCTATTTCCGCAATATTAATAAAATTAAGTAATTTTTCTTTCAACAGCTATAATGCTTCAGGCATTACGAGGATGCCATTTGGTGTGAACCATTTCGGTAAAGTATTCCCACGAGCGCAACTTTGGCCGCAGTATCAACCACAGCCATCGGCGACATATTCGATTTTCTCGGAAAACTCACAGCCGATGCTACAAAGCTGTATATTGAGAGCAAGTTCAAGATTGAGTGAAGAATGCCGTAAAAACTGCATAAAAACCAACCGACTAGATAAACAAATCTAAGCAGAATATTCAATTTATTAATTATGTATACATAAATTAGCAAAAACCACCCATCACGAAGCCTATCATCAAGATATGTATAAATACATTGTATTGCAAATAATTTCATTCAGGTTTTATACACGAAAGGAAGGAGATGATTGTGAAAGTATCTGGTTTTAGGCAATTTACAAAATCTGGCTCAAGTGGCTGTCCCAATGCAGGCTTGCTTTGCACAATTTTCTTGATTCGGTTTGCTTTGTTTAACTTTGAAATATTCTTTAGCCGAATGATGGCCTAGAACGCTGCACAGAGGGGCAAAAAAGGTTGCTGTGGACAAATCAATATTGAGAGCCCAAATATGAACCGTTGCTTTTTTTTTAAATAAAAGATAATTAAATTTCGCGTGGATCTATCCGTGGCGATCTTTTAAATTCAGTTTATATGGGAGGTGCAACGCCTCCTTGATATATCGAAATAACTTTTCATTTATTATCATGCTTTCATAGTCTGGAGTCGATCTCCGAAATTTCAAAAATATTGGTACAGCTGTTCTCGAGTTTTTCGAACCAAGAAAACGGCTTTCAAGATATATATTAGTGTAGATAACAAATTAAATACATTTTTTAATTAAATTCATCCTATGGAAAAATGTTTATGAATAATTTTTTAAATAAGTGCAGACATTTGAAATTAATTTCAAGTATTTTCCAAAAAAGTGGAAGCATTTAAACATAAAAGTTTTTTCTTAAATTTTTCAATGTAAATAAATAATAAACCAGAGCTATTTTAAAAAATTGCCACGGATAGATCGACGCGAAATTAAATTATCTTTAATTTAAAAAAAGAAACTTGAAATCGGTTCATACTTGGGCTCTCAAAATTGATTTGTCCACAGCAACCTTTTTGCCCCACTGTGCACTGTGAAAGCAGCAATGTCAATACCTGTTCCTTTAATATTAAATTCCGGATTGTTTAAAGAGTTAAAAAAAAAATCGGTTTAGGTTCTAATTTCCATAATTATTTTGGAATTATTGTACATTAGTATTTGCATTTTAAAGAAATAATGTATGTATAACTAATACATACGGATTTTTAATACACTAATGTAAATATGAAAATAGAAGTGTTATTTTGGCGAAACAATATTTTTTAGTTTGATATTTTTTTTTTTAATAAAACACTTAAATTACTCGCTATTTCTTAGTTTTTTTTAACCGACTTCTAAAAAAGGAGGAGGTTATCAGTTCGTCGGAATATTTTTATTTTTTATTTTATTATTTTATTTATTTTTTATTTTTTTTTATGTATGTTACCGCATAACTTTGGACCACGTCAACCGATTTCGGAAATGCATCGGAAAGGTAGTGTCTCAGATTTGGTCCCATACTAATCTGGTTAATATCATGAGATATATGTATATATTTTTTTTTATATGAGAATTGAAGTCGGTTTTTTTTGCTAAAAGTTACTTGTTTTCATTTATTTTTTTGTTTAAATATTATGATTTGAAAATGAGTCCTGCGTTAAAAAAGACAAATATTTTCATTTTCATGTCAATGGGACATAATCGCTTCCGCTTCACGACGGGAGGAGATCAACCACCTGCATTACAATGGTTTGTACACACGTACGTATGTATGTATATTAGTGGTAGCTGGCAACGAAATTCGCAAGTATTTTCCCAAGGAGCAAGGGGCTCTTACACTAAAAAGAACATTTCTGAATATTATTTTCATTCATGGCGCATTAAACAGGTGAAGTTATAAAACAGCTTTCCCACTTTATGTTCTGTCATTCGGCTATCTATACATAATTTTAAAGGCATATTTTCAAATAAGGATAGTGTCAAATTAATAAACAAATTTTTTCTGCTCTTATTATTTCCCCTGGTATAATTTCACGATGGTTTTTATCATGATCAATGTGTATTAAACAAGGTGTGACTGACCACTCAGTGCGGCCAAAGCATATATATACAACGATTCAAAAATCACACAAATTTTTTCAATTTGAATTTATATGATGGTTCGTATCATAATACAAAAAAGAAGGTAGTTTCAATAATGCTCAGAAAACTGCTTTCTCGCTCCCTCTTGACAAAATCGGCTCCTTTATCGCTATTTGCAACCGTTAAAAATGTTTCTGTTTGCAACAACTGCATGTTTTAATTAAAAAAAAAATGACTGCATTGACGGTAAAAAGAGCTTTGCCGACATATGCTTTTTTGTCCGTGAAAGATAGACTTAAGCTGTTTTGTCAAATGTCCACAGATATGTACTTATGGCTGAGTGGAAGTTCGAGCTATTTCGACAGCCAGTTCAGAAAATTTTGCAACAACACCCTATTTCGGAATTTGGTTGAAGAACGCCCTATTTTAGAATTTGACTGAAAGCGCCCTATCTCAGCTGCCGATTCAAAAAGGCCCTATTTCAGCCCTATTAGATAGGGCGATTTTTAACCGAATCGGAGATAAGTTCTTCAACCGAATTCTGGGATAGGGTGGTTTTTAAGAAAATTCTGAAATAGGGCGTTCTTCAATCAAATTTCGAAGTAGAGCAGTGTACTTGAAAAGTTTTCTGAGATGGTGCGTTTTCGAACAGGCTGCCGAGATATGTAGATCGATCTTTAACTCAGCCATTGATATGCACTATGTAAACCAATGTAATCAAAAATTTGGCATTGTTTTGACTACCTGACCTGATTGTATACACTGTGCGTTTTAGTACATTTCGAAGCAAACTTGCATTGGGCCAGTTCTCTATGATCCTAACTAAAAATCTGGAATATAGACACGCGGATCGGATCCACACCGGTCTCTACACTACAGTAAATGCAAAATTGTAATTCTTCAACGATTCAAAGCGAAAAACTGCTATGGTCAAGAAGAATTGCACGTACAAATGTATGTTCAAATATCAATTAAAGTCAGTCGGAAAAGTATCAAGTAAGCCCTGTATGAATCAAGCGTATTTATAAAAAAAGACTTGTAGGTTATTGTACGCAGTTTGGATAGAATGGCAAGTTAATGTAAGTGGAAAAATTTGTTTGCTGTTCTTAAAGATTCTACAATGTATATACATACATACATATGTATTTATGTATATATGTATGTACATTCACCTCGCTTCACTAAAATATGTATGTAGGTACAATTTTCCTCAGAGAATGGAGCTTATATCCTTACTTGTAGGCTTCGTTTTGATCTCTATGTATACCAAGATTGATCGATGCTTAAGAATACGGCGTTTTAATAAACAATGAAAAATTGTGATTTAAAATTTTTGTCACTTGAATAAGTACAGAAAGAAGTGCAGGAGCAATATACGTCCAGCGGTGTTAATAAAATTATAGTTATCAACTCTTGTAACATTTAAAGAACAATCTCTGATTGTATGAAAAGAAGCAAATTATGGAATATATGTATGTATGTTGTGAGATCGCCAACTTAGTCTTACTATCCTTACCTCTGCGCCAGATTTAAAGAAAAGAAATGGCATTAAAACTTTCATAAGGGATACTTTCAAAGGCTTTAGTACTTGGGCTCAGAAAATTTAAGAAAAAAAAAACAACTTATATGTATGTATATTAACAACATAAATAAACGCGGCTAAAGTTTTGTAGCTTCGACGTGAGACGATCAAGAACTCGCTTTCAAGTTTCAATACAGTCACAATTTTTTTTCTAGCCCAGTTGTATTTTTAGATATACCAATTTCTAAAACTGCGAGTGTGTGAAACTGTGGTGAAACGTAAAAAAGGCAACCGCTTTTTCTACGCATTTTGCTGTTAAAATGCAAAATCGAAAGTTTACTATTCCGTGTAAACAGCCAGAAAGACCTTTTTGAAGATTTGCAGAAATCACTTTCGGAAATAAAAATTACAAGGTGTAACATTTTGCGGCTGTTTTTTGCGCTTTTAGCATTTTTAACAAATTTTCAGGTCAGCAATTTTGTTATAATCACGAAAATGTCTGTTAACTTAGTTAAAAATGGAATTGTCTGCAGTCACCGTGGAAACAGACAAAAAGTAATATCGGAAAGTTTGATTTTCAGAAATAAAAACTTCTTGCCAAATCCATTTTACCTACAAGGTGTAACTGCTCCTGCAATCGCTTTTGGAAATTCTTGAGTTTGACACACTTTTGAAAAGGACTTGCACTTGCCACGTCTAACAGCCACTTTAGTAAAACAGTGTGAATGTTTCGAAGCTTGAAAGCAAGTTCTTTATCGTGTAACGCCGAAGTAAGACTCCGATGATTTAGAAGGGCGAGTATTTGTAAAGTGGTTGTTTTCTCGGATGAGATAACTTTAATTTTAACGGCATTTTGAGTAGGTAAGAGCACTGGAACAAAAACTACATTTATTTTGTTGCTGCTTTTGGTCTTTAGAATATAAAAAATATTCCTCTCTTTGTAAATTATTCCTTGTTATGTCGATGCTGCCTGAAAAATGTGTCAATTCAACTTGTTTAGAGTTTTGTTGAAACTATATTGTAATTGAAGAAACTCCAATAGCTTTAAAGAATGAAATTTAAGCACATACTTTATTAAGATCAATTTCAAATGTCCTGTACACTTACTAAGTGCAAAAAGCAAAGCATATTCTCCAGGGATCGTAACGGTTATAAACTTTCAATTATAACGGTTGAAAATCGATACAATTCAAAGTACACATTAGCGATTTTTTTATCCAAGTAAAAATCAAAATAACGATTATTTTCGATTCCTGGATTGTACGAGTCATTTTCGTATGTTTAAGCACTTCCTTCCGTGCTTTTTATTCTTCGAAATGAGATTAAAACGAAACTTTTCAGATGCCTACAAGTAAATTTGTTCATTTCTTTGAGAAAAAACTGTACCTTTTCAAATGGTGCGGGTATGCACATATACTATACATATACAGTGCCGAACAGAAGTATTGGCACAGTGAATTTTTCGCAATATATGCAAAGGTTTTTATTCTAATTTATTTTCGATAATTCAGATTTTTTAGAAGAATTCTAGGTATGCAGTTTTATAGCCCATTGAAATTTAGTATAACAAAGTGCACGTTTAAAGTTGCTAGAAAATCGCGATGATTTTTGGTAATTTTTTTTTCATGCAAGTTCTTCCATACAAAGTATATTCGACAATTATTTTTTGTATGGAGAAAATTAGCAACACCTTCCACTAAAAAATTGCCAAAAATCAACGCTATTTTCTAGCAACTTTAAGCGTGCACTTTGTTATACTAAATTTCAATGGGCTATAAAACTGCATACCTAGAATTTTTCTAAAAAATCTGAATAAAAAGTTGCAAATTAGTGTGCAAATTTAATGAATTTTCCTGAGTTTTGCACAAAGTTTAGAGATTTTATCATTATGTTTTCTGGTGTAGAATAAACAATATTTTTATAAAAAATTATCGAAAATAAATTAGAATAAAAAACTTCGCATATATTGCGAAAAATTCACTGTACCAATACTTCTGTTCGGCACTGTATGTAGTTAAACACACATAAACGGAATCTTCAAATGGGAGAATGTCACCTAATTTCACGATTCTCCTCCATTTTTATTCAAAATATATGTTTAAAACCAAGCAACAAATGCAAATTAAAATCTCTTAAGTTATTAAAGAGATTGTATTTTATATATGGTACATATGTGGTAAGCTCATTCTAATAATCCACATGCATACATACATTAACCTAGTAACTGTAACTGTATTTAAGAGGATAGCGGTCATCGTTTTAAGCATAAGATGTCACCACCGCGAGTAAGCGATTTAGTTGTCGATCAATAAGACGGCAGGTAGAAACGCAGTTGTAACAAGAACCACCAATGGACAAAATACAAATTTACTCTTACTTTTCTAAAACTACCCTCAGTGTATGCGTATGATTAGTACCAGCGATAAGAAAACATGCAGCTGCAATCCATTACCGCCAGAGTCGCCAGAATATTTCCATTGCTGTATAAATAAATGCAAGTGTACGTCAATCGTATGCGCTACTGAATTTTAGCGAAACTCATGTGTAATAAAAAACAATCGTAAATGATTAAGGAAAAGTGTACGTACATACATACATACTTATTTATTAATATATGTAGGTAGATATGTGCGTACAATAGAAGTACATTTACATACATATGTATGTATTTCAAACTAAAATACTAAAAATATTTAACGTCAAATCTTAAGATAATAATGTGTGTTTTAAATATAATGAAACTGTCTATCAGGCAAAACGAATACATACACAAATAAGTGGAATAAAAACATACATACAACATATTTAAAATTAATGTGAATGAGCAACGGAACAAATCAGCCCTGATCCTCCAGGAACGGTCATTCGACGTGAATGCAAAACAAATCATTTTTATACACATTCATCTACATACATACATACATAACATATGTACATACATATATGTTTTTATAAGTGTGTAAATAAGATAATAGAATTAATACTGTATTTTAGGCCACGGAAATTAAATTTAATAAATTATAATTACACTATACTACACAGCCTATTTACTATGTCTTAGCCTCTGGATTTGTAATTGCAGCTTGGCTTTATGATAATTATACATATACATTAGACTGCATCACCAAAAAAAGTTGCGGTTTTCCGTCGGGATTACAAAATTTATTATATTTTAAGACGTCCACCAAAATATTTCGGAAAAATATTAAGATTTAAGCGAGCTGGACCGATTTAAAAATACCTCCAAAAATGGAGTTTTTTATGAATAAAAATAGTTTCTTAAAGACCTTTTTGAAAAAAGTCCCCTCAGATGACAAAACAAATTAGCCTTAAAAATTCTACATAAAAATATTTAGAAATCTTTTCAACGGAATCGTAATAATGAGATTTTTGATGCTGTTTTTTTATTTTTTTCAAAGATTGATTTACGAAAAACTTCGGGTCCCAATATTTTTTTTCAAACACCAGCACATCTTAATTCAACTTTGAACGATATTCGTTCATCCTACCTTTCTCTTTCATCTTTTGAATTGAACGCACACGCTTTTCAATAATTTTTTTTTTTTTTGCAATAAGTATTGCTTTTCGTAATAGATACGTGAAAAACAAATATGGTTGTTTTATTTTCAGATTTTGGTTGGTTATTTTTTTAAAAAGTGGCAACCGTAGGCACAAATCGGAGTAGAACACTAATAGCGAAATTCTTCACCCGAAATAATGTTGCTTTTATTGAGCCCTGCGCCAGGGATGTCACGTTTTCATGTTCTTTTCACAGCATCTTCACATGCATATTGCGTGCTCTTTCCTTAAAATGTTGCACTCTGATAACGTTGCCATATAAGAAGGTGACATTCTTTCGAGAAACGAAAACGCCATAACATATTCAGCCTTATCCTGAGTTTCGCCCGAAAAAAATTCACTCGAAAATTTTTCATCCGCCCATAGTAAATACACGGAAACACAAAGTGAAAATTGACAGGATCGGAAAAAAATAAGGCTAATTGTGTAAGCGCAAATCTGTCATTATCTATATGTATAATACGCGAAGGCATTTTTTGTTCAGGATAAAAGATATGCACCGTACGCTCGATTTTCAAAAATGGGGTGTCAAATTAAAGCGCTTGGCCTGCAGATGTGCAAACTGGTTGTATTTTTTGGAAAAGAGTTATATTAAAATTAATTCAAAAAATCAATTATTACAAAATGGGTATCAACTATAGGAGAGTTGCCACCTATTTAAAAAATTATATTAGGTAAGAAAAATATTTATAACCATATGGGTACTAAACGAAAGGGGTTTCAGAAGGTAGTAGTTTGAAAATATTTTGAAGAGGGTTGCCACCTGCTTGAAATGTCGAATTAAGTTTACTTATACACAAGTTATATGAAACATCAAAATATGGATATCAAACGAAGGAGTGTTAAGGAATCTTTAGCTTGAACGCTAAGAATATTTTCGAGGAGTTGAAAAAGGTTGCCACCTGTTTAAAAGGTTAAATTCAAATTATCTAATAAGTTCATTGAATTATTAAAATATGGGTATCAGTCGAAGGGTATTTGAAAAACTTATATTTCTGAACTGTACTTAGCGGGGTTGCCACATGTTTAGAAAATCAAATTCCACTAATTCATCAGTTAATTAAAATGTGTATCACAATGTCAGGCGAAGGAGAGTTAACAAGGATTAAGCTTGAAACGAAGAACGTAAATCTATAAGAGGAGACAACACGTTATAATTGTAGCGAGTGTGAACATCAGGAGCGTGCCTTCTCTTTTCATCCAATCACAAAACGTATTTGGGCAAAAGAGAAAGCACGCTCCTGATGTTTCCACTCGTTACAATTATATATATATATATATTTCTTATAGATTTACGTTCTTTGCTTGAAAATACTTTTGAAGGGGGCTGCCACCTGTTTGAAAGGTCTAACTCAATTAACTAATACAAAAAGTATATGGACTATAAAACTACCGTAGTGAAACGAAGGAATGTTAAGAAATCTTTAGTTTGACCATTTGGAATGTTTGAAGAGGGTTGCCACGTGTTTAAAACGATGCATTCAAATTATTCATTTACTTAGGAGGGTTGCCATTTGTGCGAACAATCAAATTAAAATTTGTTCATCAGTTTATTGAAATACATGTGTATCCATGGTACAATAATTACAGGTATTGTCTTTCCAGAGAGTTATGCTTCACATCGAAATTCGTGCTCCCTAATTTTCATTTCGGCGCAGTTCAATGTTGATTCTTTTACTTTTATTTGGCTTTGCTTTTTGTTTTCGCTCAATTTAATTTTTATAACATTTCAAAACTAAAGAATTTTTGAAATGAAGTGAGCCATAAAAATGTTGAATTTATTTACTAAGCAAATGTCTTTTTTTCTGCTTTTGCGAATTAAATAAGTCCTCTGCAAGGTTTGTTTAAAAAAATACGTGTACATATATGGTATATGGGGTACAGTGTTGCCGTTTTAGCCCTTTGGTGGCTAGAGCTAGCTACCACGTACTTTTTTGGCCACATAAATTTAAAATTGCCCCTAGCCCTTTTTTTAACCCTTTGGAGAATTTATTCATACTTGGCATGAAAAAGTTGTATATGCTTAATTTGATCTCATTTTTTTCATTTATGTAAGAGATGAATTTTTAAGAAAGACTGATATATATATGTATTGTATGTTCCTTACGTTTATATACATATGTACATACTGTAAAAGTTTTAGGGCTGTTAACTTATCTATTAATGATTTNTTACAATTATATATATATATATATTTCTTATAGATTTACGTTCTTTGCTTGAAAATACTTTTGAAGGGGGCTGCCACCTGTTTGAAAGGTCTAACTCAATTAACTAATACAAAAAGTATATGGACTATAAAACTACCGTAGTGAAACGAAGGAATGTTAAGAAATCTTTAGTTTGACCATTTGAAATGTTTGAAGAGGGTTGCCACGTGTTTAAAACGATACATTCAAATGATTCATTTACTTAGGAGGGTTGCCATTTGTGCGAACAATCAAATTAAAATTTGTTCATCAGTTTATTGAAATACATGTGTATCCATGGTACAATAATTACAGGTATTGTCTTTCCAGAGAGTTATGCTTCACATCGAAATTCGTGCTCCCTAATTTTCATTTCGGCGCAGTTCAATGTTGATTCTTTTACTTTTATTTGGCTTTGCTTTTTGTTTTCGCTCAATTTAATTTTTATAACATTTCAAAACTAAAGAATTTTTGAAATGAAGTGAGCCATAAAAATGTTGAATTTATTTACTAAGCAAATGTCTTTTTTTCTGCTTTTGCGAATTAAATAAGTCCTCTGCAAGGTTTGTTTAAAAAAATACGTGTACATATATGGTATATGGGGTACAGTGTTGCCGTTTTAGCCCTTTGGTGGCTAGAGCTAGCTACCACGTACTT